TTATTTTTAATTATTTAAGTTTTAAATTTTTAAACTAAATTATTAAAGTTTATATACGTTTCATAAAGATAATTAAAAACTTGCACTGTGGCAACACCACATTTACAATTTATTACTTCCGTTAGAAAGCATATGCTGTCTCTATCAGCTGTTTTTGACAAAACACAAATTTTTGTTTTCGTTTATTTTGCGAAATTACAATTGCAATTGCAATAAACAAATAAATAATTATAATTGTGATTAATAAATTAAATTAAATAAAAATTACAATATATCCAACTGAGTTGTGTTGTGCAATGTTGTGTTTATATAATATATGCACAAAAGCGCACTGGTATATTTAGTTTCTCAAACTTTTTTATAATACTTTTTAGCTTTAAATGTTGATCTGCTGTCTCTGTCAGCTATTTAAGCATTTAAGATTAAGTAATGCAAAAAGAAAATAAACAAAAAATCCGAAAAAGCGCGCGCTATTTTCAAATTAATATTTTATGCACTTTTCACTTTTGGTTTATACAAAAATATTTAATATAAATAGTTTTAAGACTGTGAATTTTAACTTTTTCGTTGACCGACTTGAAAACACCTCCGCTCAATTTTTTATATGTGTACATTAATTCAAAAAGAAGAGATCTGTTGCAACCGTTTAAAACTGTAAAAATATCTAGTACTGTAGTTTACTACAGTTCTCAATTTATCAGGGGACTCGCAGTCAAGTTAAGAGTACACCAACGCGGCATAAGTAATTATAGGCATTATCATTTGTTTGACCAATAAGCCACGCACATCGACTGGGGTATACTTAGCAGATAAATTCAAATATCTGAGGCAAATAAATGATTTTCTAACGACATGATTGATATGATCAGAGGCATGTAAATTTGAATTCAAAGAAAATACGAGACATTTAACTGATGCATTATATACAATAATTGCGTTTCCAATAGCCACCGGAGGTAATTCGTCTAACTTTAATTCGAACTTGGTATGCAGCAAAATGATTGTTTTATCTGCATTTAGCAGCATATGTTTACAACTGCCCAACGATGTATGCATATTAAATCAATATTAATCTATGTTACAAGGTGATTTCACTCGGGCATGAATGATACATTTGTATATCATCAGCATATCCATGCAGCTTCAAAAATTGAGATATTGAGATATTGAGAGAACGTCATTAATATAGATCGAAAATAGTAATGGCAATAGAATCAATAGAAGCAATAGAATCGAGCCTTGAGGAACCCCAGAAAATATATGTTCAAAATTTGAAAAATTATTGTAAATAATTACTGACTGCAATCTCTCAGTAAAATAAATAAAAATAAATTTAGTAACTAATCTGGAGAAGTGAAACTTATTTATGAGCTTTTTACAGAGCAAAGCGTGATCAACTCGATCAAATGCTTTTAAAAAATCGGGAAGTAACCAAATCGCTATCATAACTCAATCTAATATCTTCAGGGACTTTCAATATGGCAGACGCACAACTATGACCTTTTCTGAAACCAGATTAAGAAGGAGATAGTGGATGGAAAATGTTTAGATGATTACGAATCTGTTCAGACATTATAGTCTCACACATCTTAGAGAGAGAAGGAAGAATACTGATAGGAAGATAATCAGAAACTGATGACAATTCACTTTTTTTTAAATTGGAATAGCTTTAACTTTTTTCCATGCCCTTGGAAAGGTAGATGTAGTAATACAATAGTTTATAAGTTAATGGTAATATTATGTATGACAAAATTGTTGGATGAAAAGCTAAGCAACTTGCCAACAAAAGCTGATTTAGAGGTGATTGTGTCGGAAGTGGGCGAACTCTCTAGTAAGATTACAGAGCTAACGGCAGAGAATCGTGTGCTAAAACAGAAGGTGACGCAGCTCGAACAACAGCGGGAACGGGATGCACATAATATTAATTATATTATAAACGCACGAAAACGAAAATCGCTGGTTATCAAGGGTTTGAAATAACTGACAATCCAACATTGTCGATTCGGAAATTATGTGCTGAAGTTCTGCACGTCGATGATGTGCAAATAGCTTCTGTAAGAAAAATATTTGAGAAACACGACAAAATAGGAGTCGTTGCAGAGTTTCAAAAAGAGCAGTGTATATTTAATATTTTCAACAATATTAAAAAACTCGCTAATACGGAAATATCAATTGAGAGGGACTTAAGCGCAGAGCAACAATCAGATAAACGGGTCATGCTTAAACTAAAACAAAATTTGCGTGCTGTAGATCAAAGTCGTAATATAATAGTTAGAGAGGATCGTATGAAAATTGACAACAAATGGCTGTATTGGAATAGAGAAAAGGAGCTGAAATGTGGTAGCAGTAATGGAAGGGATGTACTGCAGGCACTTTATGGCAATAACCTGGAGTCAATAAATGTAACATATTGGGAGATTTTGCAAACAATTAATTCTCAAGAAAACTAAATAAAGACAATGTTGTCAGCTGTAGTTTAAGTTTAGATTCAAATTCAAAAGAAATGTTAAATATTTTAGCATTTAATGTAGCAGGTCTAATAAAGAAAGTTAATTACTGCGATTTTATAAATTATGTAAACTCATTTGATCTGTTCTTTTTATTTGAAACGTTCATGGAAAAATCCTTGGAGAAGATTGATAAAGTGTTTGAAAAGTATTTATTATGGTGGATTCCAGCAACTCGGGTCGCAATCAAAGGAAGAGATAGTGGCGGTATATTATATGGAATAAAGAAGAACTTAGCAGATAAAATGAATATACGTGTTTAGAATTAAGATTTATTGTATCATGGCCTTTAATTTATTTGTCATTTTTGTATTGTGTCGTCGCCTTTAAGCACACGCGAAAAGGCGACATGTGTTTTTGAGAAATAATAAAGCAGTCGTGAATAAAAGTTATCAGTAAACTAACTGAATAAAACATTGGTGCCGAAACCCGGGATAGTGATCCATAAAAGGGATAGTGATCCATAAAAGGGATAGTGATCCAGAAAAGGGATAGTGATCCAGAAAAAAAAAAATATATAATTGCAAAATGTTAGACTCAGAAATTCACGAACTCAGCGACGGGGAGCAAGGAGGCGTGCAGAAAGGGTCTAAGAAAATGGCGGAATTGAAGGCGTTGAGAGGCAGCACCAAAGGCAACATCACTCGCATAAAATCAATGATTTTGAAAAAAGGGTCAAGTTTGTCAACAGAAGAACTTAACTGCAGGCTTAGTTTGACAGAAAATTACTTCAAACAGTTTCTGAGTGTGCAAGCAGATATCGATAAACTAAACCGAGGTGCAGATACTTCTTCAAGCGAAGCAATTACAGCAGAAGTTGAAGATGCATTTGTGGCCACGAAAGCAAAAATAATGAGTTTACTAAAAAAAAGAAAGCTATCACTGGTAGATGTCAATGCAACGAATACAACATCGTTATTGCCGGGCCCAAGAAGTCATCGGGAAGTAAAATTACCGAAATTTGAAGGGAAGTATAGCGAATTTCCGAAATTTATAGCCTTGTTTAATAAATTAATCAACCAGGATGAAATGCTTGATGACTGTGAACGATTTTTGATACTTAAAGAGCACTTGGGCTCTAAGCCGCTGGCAGCTATTGACGATTTTGATGTCACAGAGGACAATTACCCCAAAGCACTCGATCGATTGAAGGAATGCTTCGATAAAAAGGCGTTGATGTTCGAGGAACATATTACAGCCCTCTTTGCTGTCCCAAAATTAACAAAACCATCTGCAGTTCATTTAAGAAATGTATTAAATGCAGCGAATGCACATTTGAATGCAATGCTATCATTAGGCGATTACAAAGATATAGCGAATGCCATGTTAATTCATTTGGTGATGGAAAGAGTGGACGAAGATTCGCAGGTCAAATGGGAAGAATCAGTGGATTACAGGAAGCTGTCAACTTGGAATGAATGTTCAGCAGTTTTGACGAGGCGATGTGAGAACCTTGAGGCAAGGGAACATAAAGTTAATCAAGTGAATTCAAAGGCTGTAAACTATCAAAAAGAGTATAGAAATAACCGCAACTACTCAACCTCTCTTGCAGCTACAAAACCTTTATGTGAAGTCTGCAATGGCAGTGGCCACGAGATTGCAGATTGTAGCAAGTTTAGAAAGCTTTCTTTAAAAGAACGCTTTTTCGTAGCACGGAGAATAAAGGTATGTTTTACATGTTTGAAAAGGGGACACCTTCAAAAAGAATGCTCTGCTGTTAAATGCTCGAAATGTAATTTATCTCATCATCAACTTTTACATAAAGATTATATCTTGGAGCCAAATGAACAAAGATGCAAAAATTGGCCATCTACGTCAACACAGGAGACAGCTCAGTCATCAGTTATGAACGTAATGACTGAAAACGAGGTTTTTTTTGCAACAGCCGAAGTAATGGTAGCGGACAAGTTTGGCAAATATCACCAAATGCGAGCCATATTAGATTCTGGCTCTCAAGTAAATTTGATGTGTGAGAAAGTTGCTCAAAAACTGTTATTAAAAAAAACGTCTTGTAAATTAGATGCTAGCTGTGTTGGAGACGTTGTAACTAGCTTTAAAACAAAAACTGTGGCTACCATCAAATCAAAAATAAATGAATTCGAAGTCAGTCTGCAATTTTATGTTTTACCGAAAATAACAAGCTCCAAACCTAACCGTTATGTCGATGTTGCGGACTGGAATTTACCAAAAAATATTCAAATGGCTGATCCAATGTTCAATAAGCCAGCGCGTATAGATATTTTAATTGGTGCGGAAATTTTCTTCGATTTGTTGTCGATTGGACGAATTTATCTTAATGAAAGGTTGCCAACCCTACAGAAATCCATACTAGGGTGGATAGTTGCAGGCAAAGCAGAAGAATGTTTAGCGCCTAGTCATAAAATAAATAATATGCTGGTCAATCACAACCATAATGAGAATGAAAACTTGAGTCAATTGGTTGAAAAATTCTGGAAAATAGAACAGATTTCAACTAAATCAAATTTTTTAACCGAAGAAGAAGAGGAATGCAAGAAAATTTTCCGTGAATCAATTCGTAGAGATACATCTGGCCGATTTATTACGAAAATTCCATTTAAAACAACAGTGAGTGATTTGGGTGGTTCCTATAATGCTGCCAAACGACGGTTGCTGTCACTAGAGCGTAGGTTGAGTAGAGATCGCTCTACACGAGACGCTTACAACGCATTTATGGATGAGTACCTCTCTTTAGGTCACATGACGATCGTTGAAGAAGCTGATATGGATAAGATAAAATATTTTGCACCGCATCAGTATGTGCTACGACCAGACTCCACGAGTACGAAACTTCGAGTTGTGTTCGATTGTAGCTGTAAAACTGACAGTGGCTTGTCATTAAATGAGGTAATGATGAAAGGACCACTGGTTCAAGATGACCTGTTATCTATAATACTGCGATTTAGATGTTACAAATATGCAATTACGGCAGATGTAACAAAAATGTATCGCCAAGCATGGGTGACTGATGATGATGCGAATTATCAAACGATTTTGTGGAGGTCTTCCTCAGACGAAAACATAAAGGCCTATTGCTTGCGAACCATTACTTATGGTACAACATCTGCCCCCTATTTAGCTACAAGATGCTTAAAACAGTTAAGTGAAGATTATATAGATAAATATCCGATTGGATCGAGAAAAGTGTTATCTGATTTTTATATGGATGATTTGATCAGTGGATCAAACGATGAAGATAAAATTTTTGAAATATATAATCAAGTATCAGCAATAATGAACTCAGCAAAATTTAAGTTAAGGAAGTGGTTTTCAAATAGTGAAAAATTTCTTAATTTCGTACCTGAAGCTGATAAAGAAAAGACTCTTCGGATGAATAATGAGGAAATAATAAAAACTCTTGGTATCATCTGGGCTCCAGTGGGAGATACGCTCGAAAGCGGTGACAAAAAGAATAGTGTTGTCGGAACTATCTAAGTTGTTTGATCCCCTTGGGCGAAGATTTTCATGCAAGATTTGTGGATATTGAAGGCTATTTGAAAAAAAAAATACCTAATGAGGCATGCTCTGAGGATAACTCGAAATCTTCTTTTGTGACGTGGGTTGAAACCTTCAGCGATTTTGAAAAATTACAAAGAATTTTTGCCAATCTTCTTGGCTTTCGAAGAAGCGTTAAGTCTATGACTGAAAGATTAGATGAAGCACTAGTGCGTATATTTTACTGTGTGCAACAACATTATTTCAAAGAAGAAATTGAGCTGCTATTGAAGAATAGAGAATTGCCAGCAAACAGTAAATATAAAAATATGAGCATTTTTGTAGAAGATACTTATGGTGTTCCGCTACTACGTGTTGGTGGGAGATTAGCGAAGGCTGCATTACCATATGATGCTAAACATCAAATTTTGTTACCGAATAACTCAGAAATAGTTTGCAGTTTTGTACGATTTCTTCATTTCAAATATTTGCATGCTGGTACGCAAGCGCTTATGGCTATAGTTAGGCAGCGATTTTGGATATTTCATGCTAGAGGAGTAATACGCAAAATTACTGGTGGTTGTCTACAATGCTTTAGATGCCATCCAAAATTGAGTAATCAGATTATAGGCGATTTACCCTCTTCTAGAGTCACCGTAGCGAGGCCATTCACTGTGACTGGAGTGGACTTTTGCGGCCCTATTACAACAACGTATCTACTTCGTGGGTACAGAACAACAAAAAGCTATATTGCTGTTTTTATTTGTTTTGCCACAAAAGCTGTGCATATGGAGGTGGTCTCTGATTTGACTGCAAAGGCTTTCCTGGCTTCATTAAAAAGATTTGTAGCTCGACGCGGCTTATACTTAAAATTATTTTGCGACAATGCCACTAATTTTGTGGGTACTCGTAAAGAGCTCGAGGAAATGAAATGCAAGTTTTTTGATCAACAAGTACAGGGCAAGATTTCAAAATATTGTACTGCCAATAGTATTGAATTTCATCATATACCACCCAGATCCCCCCACTTTGGTGGACTATGAGAAGCGGCTGTGAAATCAGCAAAATATCATTTGGCTAGAATATTGGGTCAATCGCATCTTACATTTGAAGAGCTGGCAACAGTGGTTGCGGAAGTAGAGGCAGTTTTAAATTCAAGACCTTTGACAACCTTGTCTAACGACCCAAATGATGAAAGCGTTCTTACACCGGCACATTTCTTAACAGGTGGTCCGTTGGTTGGAACTGTGGAACCTACTGTGGATAGCGAAGAATGGTCTCATAAAGATAGAT